GTCCCCTACCATTTCTCCTCTTCCCATCCTGGCACTGCCTGGATGTGATTCCAGAGCTCTTCACCCCGGTGCTGAGCTGCTCCCAGCTTCATGGGGTCACCCCTGAGGGTCCTGGGGCTCGAGGGTGCCTGGGAGGGCTCAGGACCCTCTTACTGAGCTGGGTTTTTCTACCTCATTTTAGGTCAAAATTACACATAAAAGCCAGGTGCCCATGCTGCTGGGCCCCCCCCAGAAGAGCAGCTTCTTTTTCCTGAAGAGGAGGAGCCGAACTCGGGATTAAAGCATCACCCAAGGACCCACAGCCTGGAGCACTCAGCATCCCAGCCACCTGCCTGATGCAGGGTCCCCAAATCCCCATCCTGTGCTGGGGACAGAAACTCCCCCTCCAAGCCCACTGGGGATTATTTATCCTGGGAAGGTCTTGTAGGCTCCTTCCTGACCACAGAAGCATCCTCTCAAGCTGGGATGGAAGAAGGGGGAGAAGGCAGGCTGGCATGCAGTGAGCACATTTGCTGGAGCAGCACCAGGACTGGGATTTTTTTCCCCCCCTTTATTTAAATACCCTCCAGCCAAGCTGCCAGTGAATGTGCTCCTGTGGCAGCACTAAGCTCCACTTATTTATTTATCCTCCTCCTGAAGACCACTTGATGTCTCAGTGCACTGGCTTTGTCCCCCAGTCCTTGCAATGGGAGGAATTATTTATTTCCTTAGCCCAGAGGAGCCATCTCGGCCCCTCACCTCTGTGCTGTGGGGTTTGGGAGAGATGCAGAGAGCCATTGCTGCCAGCCCAGTGAGCCACGAGCTGTGGGACAGGCTGGGGACAGACAGTGCACAGGGACAAGCCTGGGGTGGATGGCAGGAGACTGTGTTTTTACAGGGAAATGGCAAAAAAGGGATTTTGGGGGGAGCGGCCCCAGCTCCGGGCTTTGTGTTCATATTTATGTATTTATTTAGCAAACTTTGGACAAAAAAGGGACTCTGGGGGTCACCTTTTTAGGAGCCCAGGCTGGACACAGACACCACCTCCCTGCTCTGCTGGCTGTCCTCCATGGCACCTCCTTCCATGTGGACTTTCCTCTCTCCTGAAGCCTGCCAGCCTCTCCTGGGGGCTGGAGACCCTGAGGACAAGACATCAGAAGCTCTTCTCACTTGAAGGTGTCCCCAGCACCTTTTAGACATCTCCCAGTGAGCTCTGCCAGGCTGTGCTCTCCCTGTGTGTCAGGTGCTGCCCCTGATGCTCCTGGGCTGCAGGGAGTGGGGCAGGGGGGCTGCACCTCCCTTTCTGTAGGGCCAGGCCTCCCCAGAGCCCTCTCCAAACCCAAAAAGCCTCACAGATGCTGCCTGCACGACTGCTGGGGCCCACTGGCATGCACAGGCAGGCTTTGGTGGCATCACCCATGGATGGACAGATCAGGGGATGCAGTTTCTCTCCAGGATGCACAGGGACCAGAAGACAGATGAATGCACAGAGTTTGTGGTGGTCTGGATGCACTCCCAGAGCCAGGAGCTGCCAAGACTGGCCCATGGGAAGGGCTGCTGGCTGCTTCTGCAGTCACCCAGTGCCTCCAGCAGTGGGCCTGCACGCAGGGCACAGCCACATCCTGAATTCAGCCTGCTCCCAGGCAGCTCCCTCGGGTGCTGGAGCTCCTGTGCTGCTGTGTGTGCCCCGTGGGTGTCACTGCGGGCAGGAAAAATCCTGCTCGTCCCCACTGTGTCCCTGCCACAGGGCTGGCACGAGTCACCCTGTCCTCCCCAGTGCCCCCTCAGTCCCTGCTGACGCTGCAGGTCCCCAGTCAGTGGCATTCTCCTGGCAGAGGGTGCTGCCAGCACTGTTCCAGAGTGGCTGGAGGGGACCTGTTGGTGACCTGTGTGCACAGGCAGGCGTCACTGCAGTGCACAAATCCACCCTCCTCCTCCTCCTCCTTCTCCTGTCCCCCAGGGCAGCTGTTTATGAGTAGCCAGGTGAGAGCAGATGGAGCAAGGCCAAACAAAGCCCAGGTCCCACGCCCCAGCTGCCTCCATCTCCCCAGCCCATTGCCAAGGGCAGCAGTGCCTCACAGCCGGTGCAAAAGCCACCTCAGCCATCTGCAGAGCTCTGCCAGCAGGAGGGTGACAGTCTGTGGGATGGCAGCACACAAGGTCAACAGGTTTGGTTCTATTTCCCTGCCCACTCAGCCTCCAGCCAGGGTTTTATCCCAGAACCTGCATGGAATCAGCTGTGGTTTTCTGCTCCTTGCCCCCGTCACACTTTGCTGGGCTCTGGGCAAAGAGCAGCCCTGGGGTCTCTGCTGTGGTTGGCAGAGCTGGGGGAGCAGGAGGGCACTGTGCCCGTGCCTGCACCCTCGGGCCTGGCAGTGCCAGGGGTGAGCAGCTGAAACCCAGGGGTGAACACCCAGCCACGTCCTGCAGGGCACAGGGAGCCCAGGGCCACCACTCTGGGACGGTGGTACACCAGCAGCACTCTGCCAGGCTCCAACCCAGATGTCCCCTCTGATGGCCAGGGAGATGATCCCAGCCCCAGGGGACCCAGCTCCAGTCTGCTTCCACACTGCCATAGGCTGGGCCTGCCAGCTCCCCACCTCCTTAGTCTGATGGTGCAAAGGTCCCGAGCCCAGGGGGGACCCTCAGGGGCTGGGACTTCATCCCAGCTGTCCCTGGCTCCAGGGAGGAATAAGCCATGCAGCTGAGGGGCACTCGAGGCCTTGATGTTCCCCAGTGCCTCCCAGTTCAACCCAGTTCCCACGTGCGTGGGATGGAACCAAACCCCCAAACAACCCGCTGGGCACTGGTGCCAGTGCTGCACTGGGGGACCCCTGAGAGCTGGGGACCCCGGGGGCTCAGCCAGCGTCCCCTGTGTGTGCGTAGCCGTGGTTGCCTGCATGGAGTGGTGTCCGTAGCGTAGCGCGTGTTGCCGTGTACACCCGGGCTGCTGTGGCCTTGCCTCCAATAAAGATGGTCCTGACCTCCTCAGCTGCTCCTGGGCTGCACGGGGGTCATCCCTGGCCGGGAGTGACCCTCTGGGGACTGAAAGAGACGGTGCCCACTCCAGGCCGCCGGGGCTGAAGGGGTGCAGGCGGCGGCAGCGCGATGGAGTGGTGCTCAGTGGGAGCTGCATCCGGCTAAATTTGGAGCCTGCAAAAAAAAAAAAAATTTTTTTTTTTTTTTTTCATCAGTGGGGTCTAAATTTAGCAGACACCGGTCACCATCCCCCCCTGCCAGCCCTGGCTCTCCAGGGGTTTCAGCTCTTCCTGTGAGCTCCCACCCGCCTTTCCCGTGGCCGCGCTCGGCCTCGTCACCTCTCCGTGTCCCAGGGGTCCCGTGCAGACCTGCAGCTGCCCTGGGCTCCCCGTTGTGCCCCCAGCTCTGCAGGGACCCCCTCATCCCCACTGCCCACCGTGCTCCCCAGCCCGGGTTTTGCCACCTGCCCGCCCATGTGTCATTGCTAATTTTACCTGCAGTGATTTAATCGGGTTGCCTTTGTGCAGAGGGGAAGTGAGAGCACGAGTGCCTGCAGAGCCCCCAGGAACAGCTCTGAGCAGCAAGGACACCCCGTGCCCTCTGTGCTTCCTGCCCCCAGCTGCCCCCCCATCATTCCACCCGGGACACGATGGCACACGAGCTACCTGCCATGAGGTCCCTCACCCCGGGGGGTGGAGGAGCCCTGGGGGACTCTGGGAGCTCATTAGTGACCCAGCATGGACACAGGAGCTCCTTCCAGCAGCCCAAAGACAGGCTGGGCAGCTCGCCCAGGACACTGACAAGCCCATGACCTGAGCATTTCAAGCTGGCCAGGCCATCTCTGCACCGAGAGGCTTCCGAATCCCTGGGCAGCTTCCCAGGATCCGAGCAGAAGGTTCCTCTCCTTCCCAAGCTGAGATGTGCAGTGTGTAACCAAACACCTTGTTTTTGCCTTCTCCGGCAAGAACTTGCTAGTCTCCCTGCACAGCAATGTGAGGCCTCCCCACAGCCCGTTTTTCTTGTGCAAACTGCTGGGTCCTCCCTGAGCAGCCACTGCCAGGTCCCCACGGCAGGTCTCACCCCCTTCTTACAGCTAGGGAAACTGAGGCACTTAGCAGGGAAATGCTGCAGTGAGGGGCCTGGCAGGCACCCAGCAGCACCATTCTGTCCTAAATTCACTCCCAAACCTCTGGGACGTTTGGTGTCCTTCAAGGGTGTGTGTCCATGAATCTGCTCGGAGGGATCCGTGCTCCCAAAGCCCTTGCAGGTGGGAACTATTTTTCCTGTGTCCCTTTTTAAAGGCAATAATGGCCGCAGGGAAAGGCTGCCGAAATCAGTACTCGGGCGTGCGTTAGCCCTGGGCTCGCAGGGACGCTGCCTTGCTCGTGTGGAACCACGTCCCAAGAAAGCAGAGGGGACCCAGGGCCATGAGGCCCGAGGTCCGTGCCACCTGCGTGCCTTGCTGTGTGCCAGCTCCTTGGGCACGTTGTGCACGGACCCGCTCCTTCCTCGCCACCCTGGACCCGGACCCGGGGTTGTCCCCCCACTCCCAGTTCTCCCACCCCAAGGCTGCCGCTGAGCCCCCATCCCCGCTCCTGCAAAGGGCCGCGGCCCCTTTAAATCCTGCGCTGCCCCGGCCCCACCCGTCAGTCTTTTCCCCCTTCTATTTTTTTATGAATGAAAAACGTTCCGGGCGGAGCCAGGCAAATCGCCGCGCGCCCATTGGTCGCCTCCGCCCCCGCCCACTCAGCCGGTCTCAATGGTGCTCGGCGGAGCGGCGCGCGGGCGGGCGCGGAGCGACCCCGCAGCCAATCAGACGGCGCGGACCGCAGAGCGGCGGCACGCCATTGGCCAGCGCGGAGGGTAAACAAGCGGCGCGGGGCGGGGCGCGGCGGAGGCCGCTGGCTCGGGGGCTGCGGGCCGGCGCAGAGCGGCAGCGCGGTGCCCGGGCTCGGAGAGGCGCCGCTCCATCCCCGGCCCCGCTCCCGGCTCGTCCCGCTGCCGCCGAGGCTGCGGAAGGGAAGGGAAGGGAAGGGAAGGGAAGGGAAGGGAAGGGAGGCGAAGCGAAGAGCGGCCCGCCCCGCTGCCTCCTCCCGCTCCCACGGCGCGTGATGTCACGGCCGTTTCTATAGAAATTAGGTGACATCACGAACCGGGGGGCTGCGACCCGCCACGGCAGGAGCGGGCCGGCTCCCCGGGGAGGCGTGGCGGCAGCGAGCCAGCCCCGGGGGCGGCAGGGGCCAGGGTGTGACCCCTCCCCGTCCCCGTCCCCTCCACCCCCAGCCGCGCACCTGCCGGAGCCCGGGCGGGACCCCCCTTCCCGGGCCGGCGTCGATGCTGAGCGGGCCGGGGGCACTGCCCGCTTCGCCCGCACCATGGACGGCTTCTACGACCAGCAGGTTCCCTTCATGGGCCCCGGGGTAAGTTTGCCCACCCTGACACCTTCCTCCCCGGCTTTGGGGGCACCCCTTCCCCATCCTTGGGGCATCCACTCCTCATGGTTGAGAGCACCCCCCTTGTCCTTGGGGACACCCCGGGCCTTGGGGCTGCCACCCTCACGGGCAGCTGTCACCCTGTTCCTTGCAGAAGTCCTGCACAGAGGAGGGCCGAGGCCGGCCGGGGTCCGATAGGAAAAGGAAATTTTTGGAGACTGACCTGGCCCATGACTCGGAAGGTAGGCAGGGCCGGCCCCGTGAGGCCTCTTGCCTCGTGTTGGTTGTTTTAGAAATAATCCTGCAAATAATGGCAGTTCTATTTGTTCTTCTGTGGAGCACATAAGTCTTTCACTCTGTTCCAGAGCTCTTCCAGGATCTCAGCCAGCTCCAAGAGGCCTGGCTAGCTGAAGGCAAGTCTTCACCTCCGCCTTTTGCCATGTAAAATCATTCTGTGAGCATCTTTTTGAGAACTGAAAACGCCATAAACCAACTTTTTTGTTTGTTTTTTTTAGCTCAGGTCCCCGATGACGAACAGTTTGTCCCAGATTTCCAGTCTGACAACTGTAAGTGATTGTTCTGGGTTTTGTTCTCTGGGGGTAGGCATTTGGGTGCCTGTGCAAACATTTGCACTGGGTTTGGAGTTGCTTCCTTGGGAAAGCAGTTGTTCCTGGGGCTGAAACGTGAAATCAAGGGCTTTTGGGAGAAAGCACGTGTGGTTTGGGTTCCTGGAGATGCGGCGTGCAACGTCCTGCCTTTTGTTAATGGGGAAAACTATGGCCAGATGCATGGAAATGGCTCTAAACTGCTCTCTGGGTTCCTCTGAGGCGTGATGCTTGTTCGTAGTGAGCTGGATTCCCTTCTAAACACTCCTTTTCCTTTTCAAGTGGAAGAGATAACCCGTGCTGGGCTGCTTGGTTAGCCACAATCTCTGCAGTTTCTAGAGCTTTTTAGAGTCCTGGCCGGCGCTGTTGGCAGGAGCGAGGCTGAGCGGTGAAACTTGAGCCGCTTTAAGCAGCATTAATCACTGGCAAGCCAGCCTCTTTAAAAGGAGGCCAGTGAAAATGCAGTCCCTGGTGAATTGCATAAGAGCCAGAGCTGGTTCTGAGCCGTGCTGTGTTGCCAGAGAGGGTCGGTGGCGAGGCAGGGGCCGGGGAATGGCGCGTGGGGCTCCGGGAGCTGCTCCGGGGTCGGCTGGGGGAGAACGGGGGCGGAATCAGGATGTTTTGAGTTGTTACCTGGCAAGCACAAGTAGTAGCTTGGTGTCGGTGGCTGGGTTTTGCTGCCGAGCCAGACAGCTACGGAACTCGGAGGAAATCAAATTTAGCCTGCAGTCGAACAGATTTTTCATTCCAGCCCTGTCGCAGCATGCAGCGGGGTATCTCCTCCGACAGCAAACGCGCGTTAATTATTGCTCTTTGGTTACTTTGGAGTGGGAAGCTTGCCATTGAGCCCGTCCAGACAGCCCAAGTTTCAGATGTGTTTTTTTTCCCCTGTCTCCCCTGAGATAAAAGGCGAGCCCGGAGTCAGAAACACAAGGGTCTGTTGACATCCCCAGCACAGCCCAGCAGCTCTTGCTCGGAGCAGCAGAAACTGCAGTGTGCGTGGGAGGGTGGCTCTTGAAGCTGAAGCTGTTTCCAGTGCCTTTTGGCAGTCTCTTTTTCCTTGTAACCTGAAGAGCTTAGAGAGGAGAGACAAACTTTTCTGGGTGATGCAGGAAAAAAGAGGAGAAGAAGAAAAAGGCGTTTATTTGGTCAGGACTCTTAAAAGTGTTCTGATCTGCTCAGCCTTTGGCCCTGGTGTTGAAACTATTTTGTCACTTGAAAGCGCTGCCTGCGTGACTCCCTGCAGCAATAACCTTCCTTAACTTGCCTGGGGAGAGAAAGCAAAGGTTTCTCTTGCTGCTGCAGTGCTGGCTGTGCAGGGTCTCAGACTGAGGCAGAGGGGAATGGGAAGCCCAGCTCTTGCATCCCTGCACTAGAGAGAGTTTACAGAGCAGAGAAACTCCAGTTTTGAAGCGTGTGCCGTGTAGTTAGGGAGAGAAGGATGGCCCTGGTGCAGCTGAGGTCTGCACCCAACTTTCACTAGCAGGGACGTGCTGCCTTCCTGGGCTGGCAGGCACAATGGAGTTCAGCCTCCGTTGGCTTCTGAGGAAAGGTAGATCAGTCCTCAGTCCCTACAGATGTTTGTGGACTCTGTTTCTGCAGCTGTGTGGCTCCATGCCTTTTCCCTGAGGAAACTGCTGCTTTCTTATCCTGAGCAAACCTGAGTCTTGTGCCCCATCTTGCATTCCCAGGGCCAAGCTTCCTTGGCACAGCAGGGAAAAGGGACAAACCGGGCTCAGTTTGGACCCTGCTGCAGTGGGGAATGTGCCACGTGGAGTCTTGGAGATGCTCAGAATCCTTCTTGCCTTGCTAAAACCTCCTCATAGCTGCCTGCAGCTCTGTTACTGCCCACTCTCTGTTCCCAATTCTGTAGCCAAGATCCCTGGCAGACTGGGTCTTAAAGTTGGGGCTTGGTAGCAAAGTAATACGGAGGGCAGTGGGTCGCTGTGCTGGGGAGGAAATCTCACTGTGGGGAAGGCAAGGCTGCTCCCCATGAGGGATGCATTGTTCTTGGTGCCCTGGACTGAGTGGCAGGAGGCCAGATTCAGTGCTTGTAAGTTGCCCAGGGAGGTGGTGGATCCTGCCATGGGAGCCAGGGGGCTGTGGTGACTCCACAGAGCTCACCTTGCTGCACCCCTGGCTGGGCATGGGTGGTGTGAGCTCACCAGCAGTGTGGTCCTGTGGCCGAGGGTGTACATACAGTGTTATGTCTCCACTGATTGTTTAAGTACCTGGGAAGTGATGGGATCATAGCTGAGGAGATCAAGCACCACAAGAAGTGATTTTTTTTTCCCCAGGGTACCTGTGGCCTCCCTGCACAGGCAGCACGTGGCAGCAGCCACGGGCAGGGCAGGGAGTTTCTTGCACACCAAAATGAAAGAGGGAGGTTTGTTTGTGAGGAAGACTTGTTTAAACAAAGGAAAGCAGGATCCTGGCTTCTATTTCTGACTCCTCTCCTGCTATGACCTTGGGTGCCTCCTGTAGTGCCGGGGGATGGAGGGGCAGGCGCAGAGCTCGGCTCCCAGGTGACAGCTTGAGTGGGTGCCAGTGTCCCTGGCCTGGAAGTGGTGGCTTGGTTGCCTTCCCTTGGCTCATTGAGAGGCAGCCAGTGCTCTCTGAGCTTAGTCTCGTGGAGGTCCAGTGGTGCTGATGGGTGGGAATAACCTGCCCTGTCCTCCATCAAGGGTTTCACTGGGAATTCAAGGCCTCGAGCGGCTTTGTGGTGTCACCCTTTTCCATGGGAGATGTCTGATGGTTGGCATTAGGGGCATTTCCACTTCCACTGCTTGCATGGCACTGGGAGGCTTTGCCTGGGCCTCCCCTACCTCCCCTCCTGGCTGGGCACAGCAGTGGCACGTGTGGCTGGTGCCTTGCCCGGCGTCCCCAGGGTCCTGCCACCTCTGGAGGCGAAAGCAGCCGGGCACCCTCGCGTGTCCTCGCTGCTGCCGTGGCTCAGCCTTGGCGTGGATCTGCTGACGCATCTGCTCCAGCCCTCTCTGTAGTTGAGCTGCTCCCTCTGAGTATTTTTATATATTTTTTTAGCTTTTAATTACAGTGCCCAGGGCAGGACCGGAAAGGGTAAAAGTGCTTGTGCGCCCAGTGTTCCTTTGAGGTGTTGGGTGCTGGTGCGGGGCAGCTCCTCCCACCTGGCTGCTCGCTGCTGGGACCCAAACCCAGCTCCTTCCCCCCAAAAACTGCCCCTCAGTGCCCGCCAGACTCCTCCAGAGCCTCGCTGGCCATGAGCTTGGCACGGGAGCAGCCGTGCTGAGCAGCGCCGGCCGGCCCCGCGGTGTTTGTGTAAGGAATCCAAACGTTGCACAGAGTCCCGGCTTGGACAGCTGGTCTCTGTTAGGATCTTAAGGCTCATTTCCCTTTTTTTTTGAATGGCAGTGCTAAGCTCTGGGGAAATTTTTCCTTTCTTTTTTTTTCCCTCCCTCAGCCACATGAATGGAGCGCTACGAAGTGTTTGTGAATGGAGGGTGGTGCCTGCTCGGGGACTGGAGGCTTTTTTTTTTTTTTTTTTCAATGAATAACCAGACCCCATTGTACGACTGGCGGAAAAACAACTCGCTCCAACAACACGGAGCCTGTTTGGGAGAGCCATGCCCGCGATAGGCAGCTGGAGCCCTTCCAAAGGCAGTTCCCCTTTGCTTTCCCATGGCTCACGGGGTGCTGTGCTGCCGCCATGCCGGGCCCCTTTTGAGGCTGGAAGTGCTGAGAGTGGCAAAAGCTCGCTGGGGAGGGGGGAAGGAGGAGTGGGATAAATCCGGCTTGGGAGCGGGTGGAAGGCGTGTGGGGGGCTGTGCTGGCTCAGCGCTGGGCTTTGTGTTTCAAATCCTTCTCCGGGAGGGGGGGGGGGGGTTTATGCCCTTGGTACCAGCTGTATTGAGGCCTTCCGAGGGGGGATGGGTAGAAAGGGGAGTCAGCAGCTCTTTAAAGGTTTTGACAAATTAGGGGAGCAGCTAATTACCTGGCAAGCTGTGAACAGTTGTCCTGGAGCTATTTGCTCCTCTCCAGTGTAGCTGGGCTGTGTTTAGGCTTCACATGAAGCTAATACTCCACTTCCGATTAGTCTTGGCTCTCCTCTGAGGCACTATTTAGGTACAGAGCTCTGAGGCGCTTTCCCTTTCCTAGGGCGCCTGCTTTTAGGAATTAATTAGCTTAAGCGTATATTACTCAGTTTATAATTATATATATAGCAAGTGAGCTTGGGAGTGGGTGGAGAGGATTTGGATTTAATGGGATGTTTGTCACTTGAGCTCATACAACTGTGGGACCCCAGGACCAGATCCCATTGGACCACCTTGGCTGTGGGAAGGTGGATCCCGCTTGAAAGCTCTGCAAGTGGGTTTGTCCCTGCGAGGGCGAGTGGGTTGGCGTTTGTGAGGCCTTGGAGCTCCAGTCCGGCACCCCTTGCTCTGTGTCTTGGGGAGGCAGCCACCGCCTGCGGTGCCTGGGCTCTGCTCCCCTGGCTGAGGGGCTGGCGGACAGCACGTGTCTCATCTCAGGCTGTTGTGGAGCTGCCTGTGCCCCTCTCACAGCCCCTGTAGCAATTCCCCTGCTGAGAACAATGTCCTGGGCTGCTGTGGCTGTCCCAGCTCTGGCCTCCCCTGCTCCCCTGGCTCACTTCTCCGCCAGTGCTGGGGCCTGGCAGGGCGCTGCATCGCCCTGCCTCAGTTGCTGAGCGCTCCCAGGGCGTAAGTCAGCACCTCCTTCCCAAGCAAAGAGCTGATCCTTGCAGGGGTGATGCTCCCCTCGCCCTCTCCCCTGTGGGTGAGCCTGTGTCCTCCTCGGTGTCCTTGCAGTGGTCCTGCACGCCCCACCTCCGGCAAAGATCAAGCGGGAGCTGCCCAGCCCGTCCTCGGAGCTGTCATCCTGCAGCCACGAGCAGGCTCTGTGTGCCGGCTATGGGGACAAGTGCCTCTACAACTGCTGGTAGGTAACCCGGGCACCGCGCTGCCTGCAGAGCCCTCGGGGACTCTGTGCCGCGCCGCGCTGTCCCTCGGCGTCACCATAACCCCCCGGCCCGTCTCCCTCGGCAGTGCCTACGACAGGAAACCGCCCCGCCGTGCCCGCGGCCCATGGCGCTGCCCCGGCGCTGCAGGAGCAGCGGCAGCAGCCGCCCTTCGCCGTGCCGCGGCCGCCGCACCCGCCCATCCACATGCCAAAGATGATGTCTGAGAACCAGTTCCCCGCAGAGCACAGGTGAGGCAGCGCCCAGTGGCCGCAGGAGCCCTCTGAGGCTTTATGGGGAGTCTTGGGTCGGTGGTCCCAAAGTGTAGGGGAGAAAGGCACAAGCATTTCTCCTTGTCCCCGTGCTGTGGTTGCAGTTGGTGGGACAAATGTTGTCCCGTGTGGCAAAACTTGCCACTTCCTACCGGGATCTTGTGGCTCTTTCTCCTGCTCCTTCCAGTCCCTGAACATTGGGCAGGGCCTTTGCCTCCCTCTTGGGAAAGCAGGGGAGGCAGAGGCTGACTCCTGCATCCAGCCCAGTTCCAGCAGGTGCTGGTCCTGAGTCAGGGCTCTGCTCTCCTCATTCCCACCCACTGCAGCTCTGCCTCCCAAGCCCTGTGGGGCTGTGGAGCTGTGACCATCTCTGTCCTGCCCGTGTGCACCCCGGGCTGGGGGTGGTCCAGAGCTCCCCATGCACTGCATGGCATCTCCATGATTTTGTGGGCTGCAAAAGAGACCCCTGTTCCCTCCTCCCTCTCCAGGCTGTGGCTTCACTCCCCATCACTCCCACATCCCTGGAGGCTCTGCCAGTCCCTTCCCTCACCCTGGATTTGCTCCTGTGGGTACTCTCAGTAGGTGCTCTGCTTGTGGCCTATGGATGTCCTTTGCTGTGACAGCCACCGTGTCACCCCTGTGGGCACGGGACAAGATGTGGCAGCCTGGCAAAGGCCATGCAGTGGGGCCAGGGAAGCCCTTGGAATGTGCCCACAGCAGGCAAGCATCCCTCCCCAGCAAAGCGGGGCTCCGTGTGACCTTCAGGCTGTGCAGGGGGCTGGCTGCGACCCCTTGGGAAGCACCGTGCCAGCACAGGGCTTGGGTTTCATTCAGGAAGGGCAGAGGGACATGGCTCGGAAATGGAGTAATCCCAGCCCGGCAGCTGGGAGAGCTCGGGTTACAAAGGCAAATGGTGCAGGGCCGGCTGAGAGGAGCCGCACGGAGATCCAAGATCACCTTTCAAGGTGCCGGAGGACGAGGGGATGTGGCAGCACCCCCTGAGATGGTCCCTCGTCCATTGCCACCAGCAGAAACCTTGCTCTCAGAGCAGTGTGGCAGCGCCACGGAGCCCAAAATAGTGCTCCCTGCTGTCGAGTTCAAGGTTTAATCCCAGCTGCGCGGGCGGATTAGCAGCCGGCTGGAGCTGCGGAGTGGATTTGGCTTTGCGTAAGCGCCCACCCATGCTCAGCATCCCTGGCCCCTGCCCCCACGCTGGGGACAGATTTTACTGCTTTACAGAGATATCAGCATTGGGGGGTGTTTTTTTTCTCCTGTTTTCATTCCTTTCCAGATACCTGAAGGCCAGAGTGTTTTGCTGTAGGTGGCCCATGCGTTATCCTGCTGTTCCATCTTGGGGTCCTCAGTGCTTAGAGGGGCACAGGGCTTCTCAGCACCCCGTGGGATGAGCCCCTGTGCTGGCTGTGCTCCTGAGGAGCCATCCCAGCCTGCTGTGGGTGCTGAAGGCACCCAGCTGTCAGGCAGTTCTGGTTTGGGGTGGGAGCTGACCCCCACTCCTCAGTAATGGCACGTCCTTCTCCCGCAGGTTCCAGAGGCAGCTGTCGGAGCCCTGCCACCCCTTCCCGCCGCAGGCCGGGGTCCCGGGGGACAGCCGCCCCATCTACCACCGGCAGCTCTCGGAGCCCCTGGGCCCCGCTGCCCCCCGCCCCCCTCAGGGATTCAAGCAGGAGTACCACGACCCTCTCTACGAGCACGGCGGCCCTGGCCTGCCCGGTCCCCCCGGGCACAGCTTCCAGCCCCCCATGGGCATCAAGCAGGAGCCCCGGGACTACTGCATTGACTCAGGTGCGTGTGAGCCAGGGACAGCCAGGGAGCAGAGCATCTCTGCCATCAGCGTGGCAGGAGCAGGGTTGAGCTCAGGCAGTGGGTGCTGTGTCTCCCTGGAGCTGCTGTGGTGCTGGGGTACTGCTTTGCTTTTTTCTTTCCTCCTTTTCCAAAGCCAGGGGATACAGCAGGAGTACACCTGATGCCAGTGGTGTGGTGGGGCTGGGGTGCCCCACGGCGCCTGGTGGGTCCCCCCTTGGCTCTGGCCTAGGGCCAGCTGTGATTGCTGGCTGCTGGACCCTACCAGCATCACAGAAAAATCCTCTAATCGCCTTAGGACCTAAAAATACCCCAACCTCGGGATGGAGGGTGGCACAGCCAAGCAGATGGTAGGGGAGGTGCAGCAGTGCCTCCCTTCATGTGGGGCCTGTGAAAACTTGAGCAGTTCCAGTCTAAATTCCAGTGCCACCCCAAATCATACTGGGTTTCTTTTCCCCAATGTTGAGGATGGATGTAGTGGACCAAGAAGTGTGGGGAGGGGGGAAGGTTCCCAGACTTCACTGTAGGACATGCTTGGGGTAAAGAATATGCTGCCAAAATCCATGGTGGCACCCACAGGGTTTACAGCCCTAATGTAATTTCATTTCCCCCTCAGAAGTGCCTAACTGCCAGTCCTCGTACCTACGGGGGAATGTCTTCCCCAACAGCCATGACGGTGAGTGACTCCCCACTGTCCCCCTGCCCTGCCCCATCCCACCCCTCCCTTGTGGCAGGCAGCACTCCCTGGGCACCCAGAAAAACCCATGAGAGCACTGTGGGGCGCATGAGAGCCACACGTGCTGGCACCAGCCCCAAAAGCAGCCAGCAGCCCCTGTGAGCGTGCTGTGAGGGAATCTGGGATAATGCAGAGCTGCCAGTGGGGTTTGGGAGCAATGAGGGGGGCAGAGCTGCTCAGAGCTCAGCCGCTGAAGTAACTGGGAATAGGTCTGCTCCTAGAGCTGTGCATGGGGTCCTGTGCTGGATTCAGCCAAGCCAGGGTTTTTTGGGGTCCAGCCAGGGTAGTGGAGGGGCCCTATGCTCACAAAGGGTGTTTTCCCCACAGGATTTTCATATGAAAAGGACACACGATTGTATTTTGATGACACATGCGTGGTACCCGAGAGGCTGGAGGGTAAGAATCTGGCCCCAGAGGAGGCCTGCAGGGGAACTGGGGCTCATGGAGGAAGATGTGGGGGTGCTGGGATCTGCAGTGCCTGGTTTATAAAGCCAAGCAGTGCTGGCACGGTGCTCTTGAGAGCTGCTGGGCATCATCCCACGTGGCAACTCGCCATGCTCCATCTCTGACACTGACACCTACCTGCCTGCAGCACCATCCCCAGCACCTCTCCCACCCCATGGCCTGATCCTGCTCAGGTGTCTTGGCACAGGGATGGCCCGTGCTGTTGTACATATCTCCTGCTGGTGACACAGCCTGGGGGACGGGCAGAGCCAGGCTGTTTAACCAGGTGTCTCTTTGTGTGAGCAGGTAAAGTGAAGCAGGAGCCCACCCTGTACCGTGAGGGCCCTCCCTACCAGCGGCGTGGCTCCCTGCAGCTCTGGCAGTTCCTGGTCACCCTCCTGGATGACCCTGCCAACGCCCACTTCATCGCCTGGACCGGCCGGGGCATGGAGTTCAAGCTGATCGAGCCTGAGGAGGTACGAGAGGTCCTGCCCTGGAGCTGGGGAGTGCCTGTGGGGATGCAGGAGTGGATCCTTCCCATGCAGCAGAGCCTTCCCACCCACACGTATCTGTGTTCTCCTGTCAGCTGTAGAAATTTGCCTTTAGTACCTTCCACTGCCTCTTGGCACGGCGCGTGCTGGCTCCCGAGGCTGGCAGTGGTCACCGGCCGTGGTGGTGCTGCATCTCTGCTCTGCCTTGCTGAGTTCTGCTCTGCCACAGCTCCTTCCTTCCCAAGCTGCTCCCACCCTTTGCCCTGGTTTTCCAGCAGCAGCTCTGTGCCGGAACCACACAGCTCCACGGGAGGGTGGCACGGAGGAAGGAGCTGTTTGGGGGTAATTGAGAGCAGCTGTCGCCAGCCCCGAGCTGCGCATTGTGGGTAATTACCCATAATATCTCTTGCGCCATGCATGGAAATTGCGGTATTTTGAAGCAGCTTTTTTGGCAGGCTCTCCCTAATGAAATGACTTTTGATTTGGCCCCTGATCTGGCAGTGGCTGTGTGGTCACAGCCAGAGCATTTATCATGGCAGGCGGGGAGCCACTCCCAGACCACGGTGACACCTTCTCTCCAGCTGCCTCCTCAAACAAGCCTCTAGCCTGCCTTTCAGTTGTGCTTCCCTCTGAGGATCCCTGTTCCAGCCCTGGCTGGAGCCCTGATGGCTGCCACCTCTCTCCCCGTAGGTAGCACGGCGCTGGGGCATCCAGAAGAACCGACCAGCCATGAACTACGACAAGCTCAGCCGCTCCCTGCGCTACTACTACGAGAAGGGCATCATGCAGAAGGTGAGGTCACAGCACAGCTTGATTGTCCCCTGCTGTCCCAGGGTGCAGCAGGAGAGGGATTAGGTCCGATGTGAGGTGTGTGGTGCTCCCCCAGGGCAGGGAAATGCTCGGGGCACCCCTCACCCCCTCCCTCCTCCCTGCAGGTTGCCGGCGAGCGGTACGTCTATAAATTCGTCTGTGACCCCGACGCCCTCTTTTCCATGGCCTATCCCGACAACCAGCGCCCTTTCCTGAAGACAGAGCCGGACTGCCCAGTGCCAGAGGAGGAGACGGTGCCCCTGACACACTTTGAGGACAGCCCTGCGTTCCTCCTGGAGATGGATCCCTGCGGCAGCCTTCCCTACGCGGAGGGCTTCGCCTACTGACTCGGCCGGCTGGCAGAGCCATTGGCACTAGCGCATGCACCTGGGGCAAACACGGTTTTCTAAAGAATATTTTTGGCTGTCCATAAGAGAGGGGGAAAAAAAAAAACCAAACCCCAACGACAAAACAGCATGGGTGCACACACAAATTCGAGGAATTTAAAACGCCCCACGTGTGTTGCCGCCGAATTCCCACCCTTCCTTTCCAAGGGCTAGTGCACAGGACTGCCCGTGGCTGGCACCTCCTGCCATGCGTCGGTGTGATGTCTTGGGGCGCCGGGAGCCTAAAGCTGCAGTCTCTCCCCCAGGCCCTGGCTCTGGCAGCGCCCCGGGGCTGGGCTGCGTGGCTGCCGAGCCAATTGTCACGACAATCTGCTTTGCATCGAGCACAATCCGCGTAGCTGCCTTGTGTGGTGGAAAGGGCTTTGATTTGCACAGAGAGGAGGGATGCGGGGGGCCGCCCGGGCCAGCGCCCCGGGGCTGATGTGCGCAGCATCCTACCCCAACCCCGAGGAGCCTTCTGCCTTCTTCCTGAGCCCCCTCCCCATATAACCTGTTGTTCCCATAGAACCTCCTGCATCCTCTCCGTGCCCATGATCCTCCCCAGCTCTGGCTATGGGCCATGGGTTGCATTTGTGGGGAGGAAACCCTGACACTAACTTCCTCTTTGGTTTTTTTTTTTTTTTTTTTGGGATGTTTTAGGAAAATACTAAAGGTTTCTAAACTGATTTTTGTAGATTTTTTGTATTTTAAGGCAAAGCTATTTTTTGCAGCTCGGCTGCTGTCCCTGGGGACACCCCTGTGGCTTTCCTGGTGGCAGGGGGAGCCCTCGATGCCCGTGGCTTCCTGGGACGGCTGCCGAAGGATCTGGTCCACTCCATTTCACTGCTCCAGTCCTCTTTCCCAGGGGAGCCAGGACTGAATCCCAATACTGGCTCAGCTGTGCTCCCCCTGCTCGGCATGGCCTCGGAGCTGGGCTGTAAGGCTGAGGTGGGCAGGGATGGGGGGTCCCCCACCCCCCTTCCTCAATACCCCACTTCCCTCCAGCTCCCCCCACCCCTCGCTGCACCTCTTAACACTCCTCCACCACTCATATATCCATACCTGCCTCCCCTGCACCAGGCTACATGTTTTGTTGTAAATGCTGTATAGGATTTTTTTTCTCTTCTTTAGTTAGCTTCGGTTGGAATTTTTGTTTGGTTTTTTGGTTTCTTTTTGTTGTTTTTTTTTTTTTGTCTGTTTTTTTTTTTTTTTTTGGGAAGTATGAAGATTAACTCTACAATGACTTGGTTGCTCTCCCCATGGTGGCTGCAGTGGCCTATACCCATGGGGAGCATTTGGTTTTGGGAACCCCACCTTGGGGACAGGTTTTTAACCATTTGCTTGGTCTGGCAGGTCTGCAGTGCAGAAGGAGTTAATCTGAGGACTGATTTGAAATATCTTTATTCAAGCAGGGCTATGTATCTCCTGCAAAGCTGCATTACATTCTGTACTGTGTACAATAAAGGATCTTGCTTCCTGTTCCTCCCTGACTGCCTGGGCTCCTGCTTTGCCTGCGCCCTGGGATGCTGCCTGGGCTGGGAGGAGCCCCTGGCTGTGCTTGGGGGATCCAGGCTACAGCCCAGCATTTGGGGCCTGCAGCCTGGTGTGTCTGGAGCTGAAACCAAGTCACCAGGGCTGCTCTCTCCACAGCCCCCCTGCCCTCTCCCCAGTTCTGGATTTCTTGCTGCTGTGAGTGGATGGTGCCATGGCTTTCACAAAGCCACATCCCATGAGAGGATCCATTTGGAATGGGGGTGGTTTTTGCCCAGTAGGTGCAATTTAATATTTCCTCTTCCCAGGGTTTCTCAGTGAGTCCTCCACGCCCCTGGAAACCCAAGCACCTGCCATCAGGCAGGGCTAAAGCCTTTCCACAACCTACTGACAGTGGTTCCCCACTGTCTCCATTTCTAGGCTGGGAAGAATTCAGGGTTTGCAGAAAGAGGAAGGAGGTGGGTGGAGGGCAAGGGCTGTTCTGTGAGGACTTGGTTCAGCTGGAGGGTTTGTGTTTCTCCTGACAGGCTGCAGAAAAACTCAGACACCCCAGACCTGCCCACTGCCACTGGCCTCAGTTTAGCTGGGCTGAGTCAGGGTGTCCATGGGCTCCCAGCCCATCTGGTGCAGGGGCTGGTGTGATGCTCTTGGAGATACTCTGACACATCTTCTCTTCCAGTTTATTTTCACAGCCCAGCCAAGCCCCATCCCTAGATGTGGCAGTGGAGAGATGAAAGGTCCTTGTGTGCCGTGATGCTCTTTACACACCCACGACCCCACCTCGCCTGCATCCACTGCTGGCTGCCAGCCACGTTGCTAATGGCTCCTTAAGCTGCTCTTCCATCATGCCTGAAGTATTAAGCTGCATGGGAAGTGTGGCTGTCTCCCAGCCCAGGCAGGGCAAAGCAGGCTCTGAAACATCCAGCAAAACCAATTCCTCTGGCATGAAGCCTTTTCAAGGAGCTAAATCGGCTGTTCAGCCTCAGGAGACATCTTACACTCCCAACCTATTCCATCTTTATTTTCCACAAAGTTCTGTCCTCTGCCCAAGACTGCAAAACCCAGGTGATCTGAGCTCCAGACAGTGCCTGGTAATCCCAGCCAGGCTGAGTCCTGGTGCTCAGGATGGAGCAAGGGGAAGACGGGGCCACCGGCAGCGCGGCCGGCAGGCAGATGGCCCAGGGGCAAAGACCTGGGACCGATTATGGATGGTGAGGATGAGGATGAGCAGATAAAGCAAAGCCTTTCAAAGCCTTCATCAAGCATCTTGTCACACCATAACCCTGACCCTGGCCCTGCAAATCTTGCTGTGGGCAGGGCTGGGGTCCCAGGGGTGTCTCTCACACTGCTGTTACCGAAAGGTTAGGAAGAGGGGTTTTTCTGTTCCTGTTTGGCAGTGTGGGGCAAAAGGGTTCAGGCCCCAAAGGGTTTGGTAACTCACTGGCTTTTATTACTTAGGACACCAAGAATTTGCTCCTCATTTGATCCTGCTGTGTGTTACCCCTCCTTGTGCTCACACTCCATGCAGAGGGGATGGAGCTGCCCAGGGTGCCTGGTCCCACCTGTCCCCACCCTGAGGATGAGGGACAAGCCAAAGTTGTTCAGTGTCCTGCCTGCAGCCAAGAATTTGCTCCTCATTTGATCCTGCTGTGTGTTACCCCTCCCTGTGCTCACACTCCATGCAGAGGGATGGAGCTGCCCTGGGTGCCTGGTCCCACTTGTCCCCAGCCTGAGGATGAGGGACAAGCCAAATCTGTTCAGTGTCCTGCCTGCATCCTCCCAGGGATGGGGGCAGGAGCTCCCAGCAGAGCAGGGGCTGGACCAGCATTTGTCAGGAGCTGGGAGATGGAGGGAAAGCAGGTGGGGAAGCATGTGTGCTCCCTTCTCACCTCCTGCCCCATCAGATGCTGCTTCCAGGCACGGGGATGTGCCCTCTTAGGACATACTCCAACATTCCACAGGATGGGGAGCACTGCTGCAGCTGCCACCACTGCCCCCAGGACCAGGAATGGCTCAGGCTACCACTGCTCCATCCCCAGGGCTCACCACCTTGGTCCCCTCCATCCCATATTTCCACATCATTTGCCTCCTGCCTTCCTCCCACTCCTCCCAGCCACAGGGGAGGATGAAGAGGAGCCAGCAGAGAGGATGGTGAACAATGAAGCACCGGTTTGGGGAGGATTCATCTATCCAGGCTGGCAAAAACCTTGGTGCTGGTGTCCAATCCTCACAGCTTCCACCTCTGTGTGGTTGTTGTGGTAAAGAGCCCATCAGCAGCTCGGGGTGAACAATGATCTGTGACACTGGGTAAGCAGACAATAAAAATGCAGCTGGTATTGCATGGGGACAAATGTGGTTTTTCCTGTTTTCTTTTTTTCACAGTCTTTCTAATGTGCCCCAAGTTACCCCTCCCTGGAATGAGAGTTTGGAGTTACCAGATGGTCCAAGAGGCACAGGTTAAAAATCATTTGGAAAAGGGGAGCCTGTAAAAGGGAGAGGATCATTACAACCCTTTACACATCCATAATTCATGGAGCACATTTCTGCTCTCCCTGTCTTGGAAGCATCTAGCAGGACTGGAAAATGTTCAAAAAGCAACAGAGACAGCCAAGGGTCTGCTATGGCTCTTACATGGGAGTGTATAAATAGTCTGGCACTTCCGACTGGGGCAGGATTTGTGGCTCAGGGGCTTCATATTTAATAGCCCATGACGGAGTTTTCCATTGCTGCCTGGAAGAGCATTTTGGGCAAGAATTACTGCCCACGCAGCTTGTTCTTCTGGCAGGACTGACAAGGCCAGAACTGGAGAGCAGGGGTGCTGCCTGGCCCACCACGGGCAGGGAGGCACAGCTCCCACCTGGCCCACGTCCCAGCGCCCATCGTGGTGGGCTCGTGCCTGTGCCTGGCAGCTGGCTCTGCCAGGGAGGCAGGTCACATCACAGCAGCTCCTCTCTTCCCCTGCTCTTCAAACACTCCATGTTTTCAGTATGCGGGTTGATTTGGCTCTTAAACACCTGGAGCAACATGAGTGGCTCCGTGTGTGGAGCCAACTTCAATATGAGTCAACCCCAAGAGGAAAAAAAAAACAAAAACAGCCACACCAAAACAAAACAAAACAACAACCAAAAAAGATCAGGCAAGCAAGATCTGGGCTGGTGAGTGAGGAAAAGTGAGGAACTTCCACCTGGGGGTGTGCAGGACACCCAGCTCGCCTCACACTGGCCTGGCACCACCTCATGGATGTCATCCTGGCCACCGCGGGGTTTTGTGGCAGCACATCTGCAGAGGTCTTTGGTATCCAAATGTGGCTCGTACTCTGTGGCAGGGAGGGCTTTAGCCACAGCTTGTTTCCCAGGGCTTCTCTTTGCTTTGTGCTGGCTTTCCTGGGAGATGTGGGTCTGGATTTGTGACTCCAAGCCTCCCACTCCTGGCAGGCTGCAGGAAGAGGGACACCACTGACTCCACCTTCTCCAGTGCTCCCTTGAGAAGGGGCCTGGGGCTCCACTAACACCCCAGAGCCTCAGAGCCCTCCAACACTGAGCTCCCAGCCTCTCACAAAGCACTAACACTGGAATAAGCCTTTAAGTAGCTCCTGAAACCATGAGCCAATTGCTGAATTAAAGGCTCTCAGAGCTATGGGGGAGGCTCCATCATCCTCTTATCATTAACTATGGCACCAAGTGTCTGTTACTCCTGTGTTCTGTAGGTGCCCATGGACTACTCCCAGCCATGGGTCACCTACACAGGTTCCTCTGTCTGGAGAACCTGAGGAACCTGCAATCCTGAGGCAGGCATCCCACCTAGAGGGAGGCGTCCCTGCCCACGGCAGGAGGGTGGAACTAGATGGTCTTTAAGGTCTCTTCCAACCCAAATCATTATAGCTTTCTATGATTTCTTTGCCACTTATTAGAGAGGCAAGCAATAGGACCCCAGAGGCTCAGATTTTGGAAGGAGGGTGCCCCCACTTGGTTGCAGAAGCAGGAGATCCCTCCTGCATTGAAGGGCTGGGTGCTCACCTGGCCAGGAGGGGTCCTGGGCAGGGGGCAGCTTGGGTAAGACAGACCAAAAAATGCAAAATGAGGTTTTGTTCCAGCTGACAGTGGAGCCAAGGTGAGGGGCAGAGTTGGGAACTTGTCTGCAGTACGAGGAATCAGCCATAGCCTCTTATTTAGAAGGCTTTTTAGTTTAATATAACTAAAACCATCCTGGACAGAACAGGCAGCGGATGAAGTGAGAAAAACCCTGAGCTCCCACAACACTGGGTCAGCACAGCTGTATACCCCTGCACTCCAAGCTGACCATCCATTGTCCTGCCATAAATTGTGCTGGGATTCCTGAAGGGATCTGACAACAGGCCTTCAAATGGCACAGCCAGGCCAGCCCTGTACCAGTCTGGGCAGCAGCCCTGGGCCTGGCACCCCCCAATGCTGCTCCCTGCAAGGATGAAAGAGGATCTGCCAAGGGTGACATGAACCCAGACTTGCAGGGATCTCTTTAAAAAAAATCATCTCTTGGTTTCTTGGCCACCTTGGACCCAGGAGAGGGCAGCAGCAGCCCAGGCTGCAGCCTCAGCTACCCTTTCCAAAGCTCTTTTTCATCTCTCAGGCTGTTCAGAGACAGCTGAGAAAGAAAAGCAGTGTATGGAGGGAGCAGTGAAGAGCAAAAACCAGGTGGGTGGGCTAGTGGTACTCTCCTGGGCTTCAAAATCTTTTGCTTTCAAGATGGTAGTGGAAAGAAAACAATCTTTCTTTGGAAACATATTGCAGGGCCAGGGCTTTCCATGGCAATCTCTCATTCTTTTGGTATCTGTGATCCCTATGGATGCTTGTCATGGCACCAAAAAGTAAAGTGGTGACACTGGGGATGTTCCCAATGGAGGTGAGGGGAAAATATGCACAGTGTGTGCCCACCACGCTGCTCCAGAGATGCTAAAAGCCCATGAGATCCCCGCTGTGGAGCTCTTACAGCTTCACTCAGAGCCTTCCA